GGGGGGGGGAGCTGGCTGCTTTGCACACAGCTGAGGACGTGGCTGGATGGTCCGGCATCCCTATCCCCTGGGACGTGGCAGGCAGCCTGCAGCATGATGTCACCGCCGCCCTCCCACCCCGGCTCTGTGCTCAGAGGAGGTCTGGCACATTGTCAGCCCTCACAGCATCTCCGGTGGGGACGCGGAGGGGGCAGCACAGGGCTGAGCGCATGCCCATCACCCGCGAGGCATGGGCGCCGCCAGGGACCCTGCGGGGTGGTTCTCAGACGTCCATTGAAGTAACTCCAATAGCCAAGGAGAGAATGTGTCACCCCCAAGACCAGGGTCAGGCGAGGGGGGCAGTGGTGTCTGCTGAGGGCCCCCAGGGGCTCATCACAAGCTGTGAGATTTCATTGAAGTCTCTTATTTTATCTCAAAAATGCGTGTGAATTTTGCCTTTGCAGCCCTGCTCCAACTATGCTTATTTTTGAATAAAAAAGGCTCCCCTCCAATATCTTTGGGGAGAACTGACCCTCCAGGCAGATGAGCAGTTGACGCCCCACCCCCACCCCTGGGGCGCCCTGTCTGGTCTCAGGCCTGATACAGTTGAGAGAATGGGGCACAGACTGGCCCATTGCAGCCAGTGTGTCACAAACCATAAGAACCAACAGAGCTTTCGTGGGCGGAGCTTGCCATGCGCTTCCCACGCACCACGTCGCGCCAACTCCTCAGGACAGCACGACGGTGCTGTGATCAGCCCCACTTTACAGAGGCGGAGACTGAGGCTTGGAGAGGCCTCTGCTCCTGGCTCCTCCCTGTGGGTGTGTGGCTGGGCGTAGGGCGGGCAGCTGTGGGGAGCAGGGCGGCCTGCTGAGCGCTGGTCCTTGCCTGCAGGCGGGCCCCTGGTCAGCATGCCCCCCCGGATCCACGGCTACCTGCACCAGCCCCTGCTGGTCTCCTGCTCGGTGCACAGCGCCCTCCCCTTCCGGCTGCAGCTGCGGCGGCATGGAGCCAGGCTGGGCGAGGAGCGGCACCTGCAGTGAGTGGCCCGCGGCCAGCCCGTGGTCCTCAGCCACTGGGCTCCTGGGGTCCCGATGCCCTCGGGGAGCTGAGGGGAGTGGGTGGCAGGAGAGGGACCTGGGGCTCGGTCATATTGTCCTCCAGGGCAGCCCAGCCGGGCACCTCTCAGTGGGGCCAGGGATGGGGGAGGGTAGCCCCCGAGGTTCCCGCCACTGCTGGGCCATCACGGGGCTTCCTTCGCTTGCAGAAAACTCAACCCGTGCAGGGCCTTGCTCCACGGGGCCAGGGCAGGAAAGACTCTCCCCTTTATGGATGGAAGTCCAGAGCTCAGAGAGGGGCAGGGACTTGCGCAGAGCCACACAGTATCCTGTGGAATTTGCATGTCCTTGGCTGCCTGCCTCCTCTTATCAGGCCTCCAAGAGGATTTGCCCGCGCCCCCCCCCCCCCCCGGGGCAGGGTTCAGAGGAACGGAGCCCCAGAGGGTGGGGGAGGCGGGGGACCCTGGCTGGGGGCAGTGTGACAGTGTGTGCCCGCCTGTCGTGTGTTCGCAGGGAGTCGGGGAACAGCAGCTGGGAGATCCCGCGGGCCTCCAAGGCCGAGGAAGGCACGTACGAGTGCACAGCGGTCAGCGGGGCTGGGACCGGACGGGCGCAGGCCCTGGTCATCGTCACAGGTCTGTCCCTCTGGGTCTCTCCTCCCCACCCCCTTGCTGACTTTTCCCTCTAGGATTTCCGTCCAGGGAGTCTCCGTCCGTGGGGGAGCGTGCCAGCCAGCTGCTGGGGACTGTCCATCACCAAGTCTGGCTGCCGCTGCCCCCTGCCTGCTGCCCACTGGCCCCGCTGGGGCTGCCTCACCCCGGATGGCCCGGATGGCGGGTCTCAGTTGGAGAGAGGTTGGGAACCTCGGCTCTGGCCGCGCTCCCCCTGCCCAGCCTTCCTCCCACCCCTGATTGCTTGGTCTGGCCTTTGGGACTTGCCGGCCCCCAGACCTTTCCGGGGCCACCGTCCATCTTGCAGCCCCGACATCTGTGCCTCCACATCCCCACGGAATGGCACCATTCAGCACAGGAAGGTTGGAAATGCCACCGACCATCTCAACAGGAAATTGGTTTTATTTATTTTTTAAATTATTTTTTAAAAATAAAATTTTATTGATGTCAGAGAGGAAGGGAGAGGAAGAGAGAGAGAGAGAGAGAGAGAGACATCAATGATGAGAGAGAATCATTGATTGGCTGCCTCCTGCACGTCCCCCACTGGGGATCGAGCCCTTAACCCGGGCATGTGCTGTTGACCGGAATCGAACCCGGGACCCTTCAGTCCGCAGGCTGACGCTCTATGCACAGAGGCAAACCGGCTACGGCTGGCTGGCTTTATTTTCTAAACTGTGAACCCCAGCTCTCGGGAAGAGAAGGGAAGGAGCCAGACAGCATGGAGAGCGAGGCCTTCTGCACCCTCGGATCTTACACAAAGCGGGGCTTCCCGGAGGAAGACTGGGAAACAGGCAGCGGGGTGGAGCGGCCTGGCGCCCTCCCAGAGGCGCCCTCCGGAGCGAGCGCGTTGACTTGCTTCCTTTCAGACCTTGATCTGCGCGCGCGTTTCAACGAAAATGGGAGAATAGTGTACATACAACAACCCGAGCTGTTATCACCTCGCAGTAGAGCATGTGAGCACACATGCTTAGGGCGGGAATTAACAAAAATTTGCTTTTTCTAAATGATGGTGAGCAAAGAGAAGTAGAACGGCGTCAGGAAACTTGTCCGCCCGTTACTGAGGGTTCGCAGTGGCTCCCCGTTTTCCGTACCTGCTCTCTCTCCTCTCGGCTAAACTATGTTAAACTCAAACTCAGGGCTTCGACTTTCAAGTCCCCGTCACTGTCTAATGCACTACAGTCAGCGTCTGCTGCTGGCCTCCCCCGCAACACACAGGTGCCCCCGTCTGCACGCTGGCATATCGGGGTGCATCGGCATGATGCATTGGTGTGAATTTATTTAAAGAGAAATTCATGGCCGCGTTCATCTTGTAACCAGACAGTCAGTGGGTCTGCGCTGCCTGTCACTGCGTGAGCCAATCCAGCAGAGACAGGGTTGAGTCATTATGAGTGTTTATTCAATCCTGCCGGCAGACATCTGCTCCGCCCCCCACCATAAGCCAGCTGCTCATATTGGGTAGAAGGACAGCGATGACATGGGGAAGTAGCCAAAGGGTGTGCCAAGTGGGCAGTTTACAGGTCATGGGGGCTGGAGACCTGCAAAGGCCTGTGGGCATGCAAAGGCTGGGGGTCTTCAAAGGGCTGGCGGCTCTGGCTTCTGTAACAAGGTTTGCTATCTCCCCATGACAACAGGCAGGTCCCGGATGGGGAGGAGGTGAGCCCCCAGGTCCCCTGTGGAACCCCCAGCCAGGCTGGAAGGTGCCTTCTTGAATCAGAACAGAGCAATCGCGGTTCACAGAGCATGAGTGATATTTCCTCCAGTTCTAGCTGGTCCCCAGGATTCCATTTCTGCCCCTGCCAGCTGCGGAGGCCCGAGGCTCCACCTGCCTGGATGTCGTGGTCATTGGCACATGTGGCCTGTGTGGATCTAGCGGCCCCCCTGCAGGTTCTCAGGCCCACGCCCCTGGTTAGCGGGTCTCTAATCTCGCCACTTCTTGTGGCTTCTTCTTGGCGAGACGGCCGTTTTCTTTGCTCTCCCGTCTCTGGGGCAGAGGCCTCCTTCCTACATTTGTGTGTAATAATAGCCCCGCTGTTTGCACAGAGCGTGGCTTTTACTCATTAATCTTTCCCTCCTGAGGGTTCGTTTGAAACCCAAGCTTTATTCCCAAGGGTGCAAATATTGGCTCAAAGCGTAGCTTTTGTTAGACACCGCAGTTGGCTGCCGGGAGCAGAGCGCGCACTCGCCACGCAGCCCTCGGTGTGTGTGTGATGGCGACAGGGAATGCGCCCTCCCCGGGTGGCACCGTCCCGATGGTGAGCAGACGCCCGTTAACCTCCCTGCTGGCCGAAGTCTCCTGAGGGCCACGGTGCTGGGTTCTGGCATCGGGACCCCACGGGGACCAGCAGGCTGTCCTCCCGAGTCAGCCCCGGTGAACCTCCCATGCGTGTGTCCTTGCAGACCCTCCGCCACAGCTGGTCCCGGCGCCCAACGTGACCGTGTCCCCAGGGGAGACGGCCACCCTGTCCTGCTGGGTTCTGGGAGAGGCCCCCCACAACCTGACGTGGGTGCGGGACTGGCGGGTCCTGCCGGCCTCCACGGGCAGAGTCAGGCAGCTGGACGACCTGTCCCTGGAGGTCAGCGCCGTCGTCCCCAGCGACGGCGGGCGGTACCAGTGCATAGCCAGCAACGCCAACGGGGTCACGAGGGCATCCGCCTGGCTCCTGGTGCGAGGTGAGGCTCTTCCCACGTGGCTGTCCTCCCAGTTCCACACACTACCCAGTCTTTACCCCCAAAGCCCTTCCCTCTGTCCCTCCGTCCCTCCATCCCTCCGCCCCTCCGCCCCTCCCTGTGCCCAGACATGGCCTCTGGCAGGCAACCTCAACCCTCCCCGTTTTCTGAACCTTCAGAGAAAGGAGTCTGAGCCTCGTAGCTTATGCCTAGTGGTTCTCACTCGTGGGAAGTTCATCCTCTTATCTAACCTAAATTCCTACTGCTGTAAGCCAAGCCGATTTCATTGTGTCCTGACCTTTTCCAGAGCCATTGAGCACCTGCCTTGCCACTCACCACCCCCTG